GCCTGACCTGTGATGGCCCCAGGCAGCAGAGCCCTGTGTGTGCACAAAATGACTTAGTATTTGTATAGGGCCTACGAGGCCAGCACTTTGCCTACCCCATTTTGCAGGTGGGGAAATGAAGCGTGGAAAGAGTCACTCAGTTGGGTCCACATAGCTGAGAAGTGTCAGAACCAAGGTTGGAACTCAGGACAGCCGAAGTCGAAGCTCCTGTTTTGCTGTTGTTGTTGTTGTTGTTGTTGTTGTTGTTGTTGTTGTTGGTGGTGGTGGTGGTGGTGTGTGTGTGTGTGTGTGTGTGTGTGTGTGTGTGTGACTGAGAATCAAACCTAGGGTCTTGCCCATGCCAGGCAAGTGTTCTACCATGGAGCTACACATACCCAGTTACCTAAGTGAATTTTCTTTTTTTCGTTTGTTTCAAAATATAAACCATAAACCAGTTTAAAGTGCACAGTTTGGGGTGACTAAGCACACTCTGCCATTGTGCATCTGGCACTGCTGTCCTTTCCTAGAGTCCTTCATCACCACTAGCAAGAGGGACTCTGCGCCATGAAACAGCCCACACCCTCCCCAGCCCTCTCCCCGAGGACCTCGTATATGCCGGCTCCTACAGAGTTTGCTCTTTTGTTACTCCAGCCTCTGCTTTAAAAATCAAATTCTCATTGAAAACCCGATCCATGGGCCTGGAGAGGAGGCTCCGTGGACTGGGTGCTTTCTGCACAAGCATGAGGATCTGAGTTCGGATCCCCAGCATCCACATAAAAAGCTGGCCTGGAGTTCCCTAAGTAGACCAGGCTGGCCTCAGACTCACAGAGATCCTCCTGCCTCTGCTTCCTGAGTGCTGGGATTAAAGATGTGAGCTAACATGCTGTGCTTGCCTCCTGGCTTTTTGTTTGTTTGTTCTTGGTTTTTCAAGACAGGGTTTCTCAGTGTATCTGTGGCTGTCCTGGAACTTTCCCTGTAGACCAGACTGATCTTGAACTCAGAGATTCACCCTGGGGAGGGGGGATGGTTTCAAGATAGGGTTTCTCTGTGTAACAGCTTTGGCTATCCTGGAACTCACAGCGATCCTCCTGCCTCTGCGTCCTGAGTACTGGGATTAAAGGCGTGCTCCACCACCACCCGGCTGCCTAAGGCTGTTTCCTATATGTGGACTTTCTTTCTCATGTACATCCTTCAAAACCTCCCTTAGAGATTTCCTTCTTCTTTGTGCCTTTCCTTAAAATGTTGTCACAGGATCTGACCAGTTAACCTGGCCATTATCACAGAGTGCTGAGGTCGTATTTACTGTAATCCAGGCAGTAGTGGAGTGGTTTAAGCGTATTGACTCATTTAATACCTGAAATAACCCTTCAAAGCAGGCATTATGTATCACCTCAGTTCCCCACAAGGAAATAGTCACAAAAGAGCCAAATTAGAGACCCGAAATGACACAGTTTATCCAAATCACCTGGGAGACAGAAGTGGCTTTGGAGTCCTGGTGTTACTTTCTATTGTGCTATTCTTGGGGAATAAGGGGCGGCCTCCAGGGGCCTGTGGGATCTTGGAGGTTCCCATCTGGTCTAAAAGGAAACCGACTAGCTCTCACTGCTTAAAATCTCAGAACTAACCCACAATTTTGAAGATTTATTTATTTTTTTAAAGTTGTGTGTGTGTGTGTGTGTGTGTGTGTGTGTGTGTGTGTGTGTGTGTCTGTGTGTCTGTGTCTGTGTGTCTGTGTGTGGGTAAGTGCATGTGAACACTGGTGCCCAAGGAGACCAGAGGTGTCAGATCCCCAGGAGATGGAGTTACAAGTGTCGTGAGCTGCCTGACATGGTGCTGGCAACCAAAGTCAGGCCCTCTGCAAGAGCAATACATGCTCTTAACAGCTGAGCCATGGCTGCAGACCAGCTAAGCCACACCTTCCAAGGAGAGTGTGGGGCTGGGGAGATGGCTCCGTGGATAAAGCGCTTGCTGTGCAAGTGTGAGACCAGAGGTCACAACCCCAGAGTTTACATAATAGAGGGTGTAGAAGCCACCTGTAATCCCAGTGGTCGGGGAAGGGGCAGAATCCTGGGGCAAGCTCAACGTCTAGACAAGCCAGATCAGTGAGAGCTCCAGGTTCAGTGAGAGACCCTGCCTCAGTAAGAAAAGTGGACAGGCTGGAGGAAGACACCAGATATGAATGCATGTGAACACACACACACACACACACACACACACACACACACACACACACACAGCCTCATAAAGGCTGCCCAAAGGCTTTCTTTTAATTTTTTTAAATAAAAGTTTTATTTGTTTAATTTTATGTGTATGGGTGTTTGCCTGCATGTATGCACCAGGTGTGTGCTTGGTGTTCACAGAGACCAGAAGAGGGCATTAAATTGGAGCTACAGATGGTTGTGAGCCACCATGTAGGTGATGAGAATCAAATCTGGGTCCTCGCAAGAGCAGCCAGTGCTCTTAACCACTGGGCCATTTTTCCAGCCCCCTCATCCTAGGCTTTGTTTATGACTTCAGCGGTGTCCTGTATTCTAAAGGTAGACACCAGAAGTCATTTCTGCATCTTAGTTCGGGGCTGGATGCACAATTGGACCTTTTTTTTTTTTTTTTTTTAGTATGTTTTTAGGTCTAAACAATGGCATGTTTAGACCCTGATGTGAGCTTGGCTTGGCACTCTGTGACAGATATATCTTCCTTGGCTCCTATCGGTGCTCAGGACTCTGGCTGCCCTTGAGGTGTGGAAGAGATCCTAAGTGGTAACTCAATATTGCCTACAGCACAGGACCATTTTAGGGTCTCCCCTGCCCAGAACAAGACTTTCTGAATTTTATTGGATCATCCTCTTGAACACCCAACAGTTTGGAAAGACTATTATCACTAAGCCCATTTGACAGACGTGAAAACTGTGGCTCAGAGGCAGGAGTGGATTTGCCTGACCTGAGAAATGACAAAGCTGTAATTGAAAATGAAGTATTTCTGCTTTTAGCATTTTGCTAGCCTGGCTGTTATCCAACATTCCAACAAACTGTTTGTTTGTTTGCCTGTTTGCTTGTTATTTTATTTCGGTCTTTCGAGACAAGCTCTTGCTATGAAACTCTGGCTGGCTTGGCATTTGCTATGCAGTCAAGGCTGGCCTCGAACCTGCAGTTCACCTGTGCCTCTTAAGCACTGGGATTACTGGCATGTAGCACCATGCCATGCTACAGCAAACTTTTGATGGTCCTATCATACCTTTGAGGATGGACATAATTTTCTTGCACTATTATCTGGACCCAGAAAGTGTGGGGCACATGACCAGGAGACTGGGCACTTGGTTTAAGAACCCATGGTACTTAAATGTACGTGTCTCTCTGTGTCTGCACACCATGTGTGAGTATTCTCGGAGGCAGGAAGAGGGTGGCAGATCCCCTGAAGCTAGTTACAGATGGTTGTGAGCTGCTTGACACGGGTGCTGGGAACTGAACTTGGGTCCTCTGGTTTTTAATCACTCTGCCTCCTACTGGAGAGTGAGAACGACACTGGTGGCAGTTAGAGAGAGCCCCCCAATGGGCTCTTTGGTGCCATCTCTGTCCACTGGGCACAGACAGCAGAGCTTGAGGACTGGCTCTCTCCTGGCCCTTGGACTCAGTGGAAGCTGCAGGTAGAGGGAAATGGGTTTGTTCTTGACCACAGATAGCTAGCACAAAGGTGGGCTTACCTGTCCATATGTCTGTGTGCTTTGGAATCTGTCTTTTGTCAATGTGTACTTGTATTCACATGGCTGTCTATAAATGTATGCATACATGGCTTCTGGGTATGCAATGGAAAAGAAGGGACCTTGTCCCCCAAATTCATACCCTGTGAAATTAGTTGAGAACAAAGAACAAGAATTCGAACTTGACCCCAAAATGGTAATTTATGTTAGCTCCATGTCTATGCAGTAACATAGATGATTCTAGAAGGAATATATGGGGTTGAAGGTAAGTCACTATTGTTCAATGGTGTGGATAGATCATACAATTAACATTATATATCTGCCCCCACTTTACTATTTTACATATTTCCTAAGGGCTTGTATATGTGATGTATAGGTACTGAGAAAGGTCTAGAAGAAATATTCCATTTGAAGATGGTGGTTACATTTAGGCAGCAGGGAGAGCAAGACTTTGAAGGTTTAAGAGGAAGGGGGTTGGTCCCTTGTGTTGGCTTGCTGGCAGATGTCCCATCACGGAACTATCCAGAGCCTCACCCAGGAATTACACCAGACCGAGCTGCTCCAAGCCCCTCACTGACAGAGATTGCTTTTGAGTGGGAAAAACTGCAGTTTCCTCCCTAAACCCTGTGCCTCAGTTTCCCCCTCTGTGTTCAGCACATCTATGCCATGTGACATTCTCTAGACATTAACTGTGTGCTAAAAATTCCGGAATGGTGGAAAGACAGCGTAGGTTGGAACCTGGATCTGGGTTCCACCCCAGTATTGCCTCTTACATCGGTGTCCCTCAGAGTTGGCTGGCCTGGCAGAGGAGGTGACAATCAGGCTCTGGGGTTAGATGCTTGGGCTCAGATCTGCCCGCAGCGCCTTGTCTCTGGGATCCTTGCAGGAGTGCGCGCCCCCGCCCCCCCCCCCGCCCCCGCCTCCCTCATCCTCGGGTTCCTCTCTGTGGAAGAGGAGAGCCCACCTGGCGGGGCTGCTTGATGGCGACATGGGATGCGCTCTAGTTTTGCTTTTGTCGGCTCTTGAACTACAGCTCGCCCCGCCCATTCCGCGTGAGGACTTGACCACAGCCCTTCCCTCCAGCTGAGACAGGAGTACGACCCTCGCTGGGTCTCTCCCGGATTCGCTGAGCGAATCTTCCCTCTGTCCTCCCTGCATCCCCAGCGGGTCCAGTCCCACCGTGTCCTCAATGGCGAGTTTGGCGGCGGCCAGACGCCCCAACGCCCTCGGGTGGGAAACTGAGGCTGGGTGGCGGGCTCTCAGCTGCTGTCAGGGGCCAGACTGCGGTCACTGCCCGTGTGCGCGCGCGGGGGGGTCGCTGTCATACCTGCTTAGGCTGCGGCTGGAGTCTGCGGTGATGGCAGCTAAGGTGGTGGCGTCGGAGTGGCTGTGGCGCTGGGTCACCTGTAGAGTCCGGACGCTGTAGGCGGAGGGAGCGCGGAGGGCGGGGACCGCCCGGGAGCGCCTGCGGGCGGAGCCTGCCCGCCTGGGTTAGCCTGGTCAGCTGCACCGTCAAGCTCCAGGGCCACCCACCTCACGGGCTCCAGGCTAGGTGCAGAAATCCCTTCCTCCGTGTGTCCTCATAACCATCATACACCACATGCATAAACTCTCCATCCTGCCCTACTCATGAATCTGTCGCACTCAACTCGCTGGAGCACATCATACGCACCGCACCGTGACAAGTCACTGGTTGCAGCCCTGTTCTACTGGTGCTGAGATTTCTCTGCACAAATTGGGAGTTTCAGGAAAGCTCCCGCTGTTGGTCTTCCCAGAACATTCTTGCACCTGGCTGGTCATGGGATATAGCCTCCACCTCTGTGGTAGATAAGGACAGGTCACCTGGAGGTTTGGATCTCTGGCTCTGTCCTAGGGAGGCCACCCACCATGCTTGTGGGGTAGCCTCCAGTCATCCCTGTTCCTCCTGTGCTACAGGCTGAACACGGTTTGCCCCTTCTGAGTTGAAGTTGAACCTCCGTTTGGAGAGGAAAAGAGACGGCACTGGCACTTTAAGAGGTGATTAGGAGTCCCCTCTGAGGAGTGAGATAGCCCACCTACTCGGTTAACAGATGGTCGCATCCACTTGGTCAACGGATTAATGGCCATCTCTGGACTGGGTGTGCCTTTGTAGCCAGTTTGACTGGGCCTCCCAGGAGCACCCAGGTTCCAGCGCTGCTCTGGGGCTCTGCCAACAAGGAGGACATCACCAGGTGCAGGACCTAGTGACCTTGGTCCAGAGCTGGAAGCCAAAACAAACTTTTCTTTTAAACTTCCCCTGTCCTGTGGTATTTACAACAGAGAGCAGACTAAAGACACCGGCCTCCTGTGCTCTTCGCTGCCTTCCCTTCCTTCTTTCGCCTCCTCTCCCCAGATCCAAGGCACCCTTGTGTCTGTTCAGCCCCTTTATTCCTAGTAGCCGTATGGTTTCATGTCCTGTGTATCTTCCCACGGATGCTCCTGACATAGGAGTTCTTGCATTACAGGCACCTACTGTACTTTTGACAACTATTAAGACCCCAGAGTTTTTACTTGCATGGGTGTCTTAGCTTGCTTTCGATTGCTGTGATAAACACCATAACCAAAACCAACTTGGGCAGAGAAAGGTTGATTTCATTTTACACATTCCAGTCCACCACCAAGGAAGCCACGGCAGGAACTCAGGCAGGGGTGGGAATCCGGAAGCAAGAACTGAAGCAGAGGCCATGGAGGAGCAATGCTTACTGGCTTGTGCCCATGCTTGCTCAGACTGTTTTCTTATACAACCCAGGACCACCTGCCCTGGGGTGGTAGCTCCCACAGTGGGCTGGGCCCTCCCACATCCACATCAATTATTACTCAAGAATGCCCACAGACTTGCCTACAGGCCACTCTGATGGAGACATTTTCTCAGTTGAGGTTCCCTCTTCCCAGAAGACCCGAGCTTGTGTTGCTAACAAGCCAAGCAGAACAAAGGGTCATATCTACTGCTGTTTTCTAGATGAGAAAGGGCGCACAGCAGGGTTGATGGACCATGCCTTCAATCTTAGCATTTGAAAGGAGAGGCAGGAAGACCCAGAGTCTAAGGTTAATCTGGGCTACATAGTGAGGATGAGGCCCGCTTGGGCTGCACAGTGAGACCTTGTCAAAACAAACAAACAAACAAACAACAAAGGTGATATGGCTCAGGGGATAAAATCCTTGCTGTGCATTCATGAGAACCTGAGTGCAGATACCCAGCATCCATGTAAGTGGTTTGGTGGCATGTGCCTGTAATCTCTGTACTGGGGAGGCCTGAGAGGTGACAGGTGGATTCTGGGGGCCCCCTGGCTAGTCAGTCTAACCAAAATGGCAAGTTCCCGATTCAGTAAGTGACCCTGCCTCAAAAAAGAAGGTGTGAATGATAGAGGGAAATACATGAAACAGGCACCTGAAGTCTACCTCTGATTTCCAGACATGTATGCCCAGTCAAGCACACCAGTATGTGAAAACACACACACACACACACACACACACACACACACACACACACACACACACACACACACACATGAACTCTTCCTCTCCAACCGAATAAAATAAAGTATTTCCAAATTCATCACACAACCACAATTCCCTTATGTCCCAACATAAGTAAAATGCTTTTACAAAACCTATCTTTCTGGAATGAGAACTTTTGGAAGGACACTGTTAGCACTTTGAATCTCTTTGATGCCTGGCTTCCTGACAGGCCCTTGGTCTGTCTTGTGTGCCTCTGCATCCTGTTTGTTACCCCTGTGTTGTTCAGTGGAAGAGAGTGAAGGAATCCCAGCTTCAAATAATATGACACCTTGGCATGCTGGAAAGATGGCCTGTCCTGCCGAGCATTGGTGGCACACGCCTTTAATTCCCAGCACTTGGGAGGCAGAGGCAAGTGGATCTCTGTGAGTTCTAGGCCAGCCTGGTCTACAGAGCTGGTTCCAGGACAGCCAAGGCTATTTCAGAGTGAAACTCTGTCTCAACAAAACAAAACCACAAGACAAAAAAAAAAAAAAAAAAAAAAAAAAAAAAAAAAAGATGACCTGTCCCTATCTGAAACTCACACTGGATTTGAATCCTCATTGTGAGGTGTGGACAGGATGCTGTTCCAACTTCTTAACCCAGCCATGGCATTTAGAGGTGGGGCCTTTGGGAGGTGATTAGCACTAAGTCATCAGGGTGTCGCCCCATGATTGAGTACTGGTGGCTTTATGAGAAGGAGAAAGGGCTGGGTTTGATGGTGCATACCTGTTAACCCTGGCACCTAGGAGCTGAGGCAGGAAGAGCGTGAGTTTGAGGCCAGCCTGGGCTCTAGTGAGATCCTGTCTCCAAAGCAAGCAAGCAAACAAACGAACAGGAGAGAGACCTTAATATCTGGACAGACGGGGGCTGTCCCTTTCTTTGCTGTGACACCCTGGATCAGTTGCAGCTCCTCGAGCCTGGTCTAGAACTGTGTGCGTAACAGTGGCAGAAAACAGACTAAGAAACTTATCATTGTTTTTGTGCTTTACTTAAAAATTTTACTTATTTATTCGTGTATGTATTCATCCATTGATGTATTGTGTGTACATACATGCACGCACATGTAGAGGTCAGGCGACGACTTGCAGGAATCTGTTCTCTCCTTCTACCATGAGGGTCCTAGGGATGGAACTCACGTCATTAGGCTTGGTGTCAAGTTCCTTCACTGGCTGAACCATCTTACCAGCTCTGGTTCTGCACTTTGAATACAACCATTAGCTCGGTGGAAAAGACAAACAATGTCCTGGTATTGTTATGAAAGTGAATTTGGACTTTTATTCCTTTTGACAGGGTCTTTGAAAACCGCTGCTCTGGCACCTTCAGGTGGAAAATGGTTGACAGCTATCATTTGCCTGCAAACATGGCCATTTCACGTGGTTCAACCCAAAGTGTGTTAATTGTGAAGACTTTCCCTTTGCCAGGGCTGTGTTATAGTCGTTGATAGAATGAGCTCCCTACGGGCCTGGGTTGCTGGGATCAGCTTTGTACAACTGACACTTCTTTTGTGATATGGAAGGGGGATGGAATTTGGAGGTACCAAAGAATTCCAGATTTCCTGATGGCAGGTTGGCATTTGTGTGTGTGTAATCATGCAGGTGCACATGTGTACACATGTGTATGGAACCCAGAGATGGACATGAAATGTCTTCACCCTATTTTTTGAAACAATATCTCTCACTGAGCCTGGAGTCTACTGATTGAGCTCGATGGCTAGTCAGCAACCTCTAGGGATTCTCTATTGTTACTTTTTTTTTGTCCACCTGATGTAAGCTAAGATCACTTGGGAAGTGGGAACCTCAATTGAGAAAATGGCTCCATCCTATTGGCCTGTAGGCAAGCCTGTGGAGGTGTCTTAGTTTGGGTGTTACTGCTGTGAAGAGACACCATGGCCATGGCAACTCTTATAAAAAAAACAACAAAACATTTAATTGAGGGTGGCTTACAGTTTAGAGGTTTTAGTCCTTTATTGCCATGGTGGGAAGCATGGTGGTGTACAGGCAGACATGGTGCTAGAGAAGGAGCTGAGAGTTCTACATCTTGGTCCAGAGGCAGCAGGAAGAGACTGAGCCACAAAGCCTGCTTTGAGCTTCTTGAGACCTCAAAACTGGCCCCCAATGACACACATCTTCCAATAAGGCCACACCTACTCCAACAAGGCCACACCTCCTAATAGTGCTGCTCCCTATACACTTATGGGGGACATTTTCTTTCAAACAACTACAGGGGGCATTTTTTTGCTTAGTAATAGATATGAGGGGGCCTGTCCCACTGTAAACAGTGCATTCCTGGGCAGGTGGTCCTGGGTGGTATAAGAAAGCAGGCTGAATGTGAGGCTGGAGAGCAGACAGCAACACTGTTCTCTGTGCTCTCTACTTCCGTTCCTGCATCCAGCTTGTGTTTGAGCTCCTGTTCTGGCTTCCCTCCATGATAGACTCTAACTTGTAAGGTGTAATAAACCTCTTCCTTCCCCAAGTCAGTTCTGATTATAGTGTTTATCACACACCAGAAAGCAGGATAAGGACGCCCACCTGTGTCCACCTCCCCAGTGCTGGAGTTACGAATGCGTACTCTCATGCATGCATCTTACATAGAGGCTAGGATCCAAATTCAAGTCTTCATGCTCCCATGACAGTCACTTTGCAGATTTGACCATCTCTCCAGTCACCTAGGCTGACATTTGTAGCTAGAGACCTTTCAGGTGGTCTTGGCTGGTCAAACCTGATGTGTCTTAATCTGGAACAGATCCATAGCCTCTGGCTTTCTGTGGAAACAAAAGCAGAGCCTCCTTTCCAAAGCAACATATCCTTACATCCAAATTTTGAAGTCAAGGTACCTTTAAAATATACATTTTGGCATAACTCAACAGCTTTTGTAATCAAATGTTTTTCTTTAGTTATGAATATCAAAGAGAGCATAATCCAGATTCTCTGTGTGGTAGCCATCTTTACGTGGCTTATTTTTTTATATTATCTTGAGCCTATTACTTTGAACTGCAGCCTTCTAAGCCTGAAACGGCACTGGCGCTGCTGGCTCCGCCCACTTCAGCTTCCCAAC